GTGCAGCAGACAAATGTGGAGCAGCTGTGTGAAGCTGTCATGTCAATATGGACCAAAACCTCTGAGCAATGTTTCCGGGACCTTGTTTAAATCTATGCCACGAAGAATTAAAGCGATTCTGAAGGCAAAAAAGGCAGTCAAAGCAAAGTGTACATAATAATGGTCAGTTAGACCTCAAGGTCTGTCTCTGTTAGATATCATACGAAGAAACAAAAAGAAATTGAAACAGACTGCAGTATTTGGAAGTTAGGAAGTGCAGGGATCTGTTAAAAAGTAAGATCTCTACATCAGTCAAAGCTGCAGAGCATATGAAAATCCACGAGTTAAACATTTTACGTTTTAAAAAACAACACACAAAAAGCTTCATGATGCCTCACTCTGAAAAAGCGATGCTAAGTACTGTGGATTTTTTAAGGACCTGAGCTCTTCAGGATCCAAACCTTTTACTGTGCTCTCCACACATTTGTTGTGCTGTTAATAGCTATAAAACATTACATATTTATGTATTGATCTGTACAAGAAATTCATTTTTTTTCAAAAATGCATTTCAATACATGAATTTTCTCTGAGAGACTAAACATCTGTTTCAATCATGTGAATAACGTTTTTTTTCTCCCCTAAATATACGTTACGAAATTGTGGCAAAATACTGAAAATAGCAAAAATGCTGTTTCATGACAGGAATACAGAGCCGGTGAAGTGTTCCCACACATCCTATTCAAGGTTTGCACTCAAAAGGTGCTCAGAAGATGAGTGTTTAAAAGGCTGCAGAAGCATAGACCCGTGTACCGTAAATCACATCGTATTAATCAGTAGATGGACATCTGCTGTACTTACACTAGTGCTATAACAAAAGCTAAAAAAAAAAAAAAAAGCTAATCATTTGTTAAATTTTTTTTAAGAAACCTGACTGTGCTTTTAATGCTAAGTGACATGTGAGTAAGGTTTTATGCAAAGATCTGCATGATATCAATTAAAAAAACAAAACAAAAACAACCCCAAAAACAGAGATCTCAGTTATTTATCAGATTTGGTTTATATAAAAAAAAGGTTCCCATCTTTCCACGGGGGGTATCATCCTGCTGTAAACATTTTGAAAGCATGCTATAGCTAATGGCTCAGCAACAAAAGCAGGATGCTTATTGAAGTAAACATGAAAGCAAGTATCGAGTATCATTTGCAAGAGTTTTTTCGGCAAAAGGCCAGGAGCTTTCATCGGGCAGAAAGAAAAATACATTCAGCTCAGGAAGGAGAGGGGCTCATGCTAACTCTAATTTCTATTTGTCTGTTTGTGCAGTTGAATAGTCTGTTCAAACACTCTCACAGCATTGCCGAAGAATAATGTTCCCGCTGCACGCCAGCGACACTACAAATAGTGTTTATTTTAGCTTCTCGTCCAGGTGGCATTTGCAGGCTGTCGCTGTTGAGGAGCCCACATCTCTGAGTCACAGCTGCCACTGCGTCGGTGTCGTCTGAAGATGACCCGCGCCGTGCCTGCCAGTTAATCACGTCTGTCTCTCACCGCTGAATAGCTGTAAATTAATCAATTAGGATTTGTGAAGTTTTGTGAAAGATCTACATGTGAAGCTTTCTGAAATATTGCAGAAGGGAGGCGGATAATGGAAATGGATAAGAATCTTTATCCATTTCCGTTCCAGCCACTTCATATATGTATGTTTACTCTGTGTGCATTCTGAGAGCATGCTTTCTGAAAGGATGTGGGGCTGCATTTTGAGGGACTCACATTACCTTTATGGCCTTTTTATTTCAGAGAGCCTCTAAGCTCATCTCAGGTAATGTGATTCCTTAAAGCTGGAGGGAAGTTAATCTGTCCATCATGTAAGCCACATTCTCTTTGGGATCAACCAAGACTGGAGATGGAGCTCTTTTAAAGCGAGCACATGAGGCCACTATACTGCGAGTTCACAGAGTGCAGTCTCTTGGGAACATTTTATGCATCTCCAGTTTATGTTAGACCAAGAAAGAATTTCTCCTCAGGTTCTTCTCAGCTTCTGTTTTCAACTCAATTTACTGAAGTAAAGTAGCCACCTGTATGTTGGCTCTTTATGTTAGCACCATCAAAGCACCACGTGATCTTATAGGGCTGCCCCATTGAGCGTAGCAGCTTTGCTGTGTGTTTACTCTCAGGTCTAATTTTCAGAGTGTTTACACTCACATTAAAGTGGCTCCATAGCGTGGTGGATTACGCATCCGATTGGCGAATGAAAGGTCACTGCTTCTATTCCAGCTGAAGACACAAATCATCTTTGCGGTTGCATCAGGAAAGGTGTAAAACTGCCAGATCAAACGTGTGGAGCTACTGTGGTAACAAGTAGTGACAAGGGAGCAGCTGAAAGTAGCTAATACTTATTCATATGTACATAAAATTGCAGATATTTTTTTTCTGCACTATTGAACTGTTGATCTGTTGGTTACATCGAATGTATGTGATGAACTTGTCCTAATAAGTGAAGCCAGTGTGTTAAACATGCATTCTTTATAATGGCTAGCATGGACAACGTTCTCTGTTTGGGGGGAAAAACAAAAAAAAATTGATTGTGTTGAGGGTCAAAGGTCAAACTGTCCCCATTTATGGGTTGTGCCACACTTTTCACTGTCCGATACAAGTCGGTCACCATTCAAACTATGACTCCAGAATGTGCTAGGTTTGTTGCAAATAATTGGATGCGGCGAGGAGAGGCAGGTCTGACTGCACGCTCCTTAAGATCTTGTGGTTGAAAGGGCATTAGTGGATGAGCGCGCAGTTTCAGGCACACAGATGACCCCTTGATTTTGAAACATGGTATGACCATGATTTTTTAAGTAGATTTCAGTCAGTGTAACTGAAAATGAGTGGCTGAGCCCAAAAACATGGCAGGAAAATCTTTACAGATGTTACGATGGAAAACTGTTGTCCCATACAGTTATATAGGACCAGAAATCTTCTTGTAATCACAGCTATCATCATCTGTTGCTCTTCATATAGAATATAACTTGCGGCACTTCTACATTGGCTTAATTTTTCTGAAGCCACATCCATGTTTTATACTGGCTATGGTACGGGCATTAGCTGATCAGTCCCGTCCTTGAATCTAAAAATGGTCACGTTCTCTTTTAAAAAAGAAGAAGCCCCAAACAAAAAACAACAAAAACAAAAATCAGAATGCACAAATCATTATGGGGTTTCATGGTGGCTATGTCCATCTTTTATACATACTATAATACAAT